ACGCACCAAACTTAATAAGAAAAAGTGTTTTCCCGAGAAATTTTGGTGCAGTCGATTTTTGGTAAAAAAGCAAGGTTATACACTGCCTTTTTTTGAGCCCCGAAAAAAAAATTGTCTCAGATCGATCCGGAAAAAAAATTTCTGATAGAATGTGGCCTGTAGAATCCATAATTTCAAACAGTTCCAAGATTGGGCCACTAGTTCAAAAGTTACAGCACTTTGAATTTTCTTTGGAAATTGGTTTCTAGTCTATAACTTTTGATTGAGAAGTCTGATCGAAAAAGTACGAATTGTTTTGTATTCCACGCACCAAACTTAATAAGAAAAAGTGTTTTCCCGAGAAATTTTGGTGCAGTCGATTTTTGGTAAAAAAGCAAGGTTATACACTGCCTTTTTTTGAGCCCCGAAAAAAAAATTGTCTCAGATCGATCCGGAAAAAAAATTTTCTGATAGAATGTGGCCTGTAGAATCCATAATTTCAAACAGTTCCAAGATTGGGCTACTAGTTCAAAAGTTACAGCCCTTTGAATTTTCTTTCGAAATTGGTTTCTAGTCTATAACTTTTGATTGAGAAGTCTGATCGAAAAAGTACGAATTGTTTTGGATTCTACGCACCAAAATTAATAAGAAAAAGTGTTTTCCCGAGAAATTTTGGTGCAGTCGATTTTTGGTAAAAAAGGAAGGTTATACACTGCCTTTTTTTGAGCCCCGAAAAAAAAATTGTCTCAGATCGACCGGAAAAAAAATTTCTTATAGAATGTGGCCTGTAGAATCCATAATTTCAAACAGTTCCAAGATTGGGCTACTAGTTCAAAAGTTACAGCCCTTTGAATTTTCTTTCGAAATTGGTTTCTAGTCTATAACTTTTGATTGAGAAGTCTGATCGAAAAAGTACGAATTGTTTTGTATTCCACGCACCAAACTTAATAAGAAAAAGTGTTTTCCCGAGAAATTTTGGTGCAGTCGATTTTTGGTAAAAAAGCAAGGTTATACACTGCCTTTTTTTGAGCCCCGAAAAAAAAATTGTCTCAGATCGATCCGGAAAAAAAATTTCTGATAGAATGTGGCCTGTAGAATCCATAATTTCAAACAGTTCCAAGATTGGGCCACTAGTTCAAAAGTTACAGCCCTTTGAATTTTCTTTGGAAATTGGTTTCTAGTCTATAACTTTTGATTGAGAAGTCTAATCGAAAAAGTACGAATTGTTTTGGATTCTACGCACCAAAATTAATAAGAAAAGGTGTTTTCCCGAGAAATTTTGGTTCAGTCGATTTTTGGTAAAAAAGGAAGGTTATACACTGCCATTTTTTGAGCTCCGAAAAAAAATTGTCTCAGATCGATCCAGAAAAAAATTTTCTTATAGAATGTGACTAGGGAATGCAATCCCGCAGCAAAATCTCAATCCCGGTATTTGCGGAATTGCTAGGTGTTAATCCCGCGGGATCCCGGTATTTACCTGATCCAGCAAGACTTTAAATAAATTGGCAACTAAGCAATTCTGTGCGGTTAACTTCTGCATTAAAATAAGTCGCTAATTATCACAATATTTAACAAAAAAGTACCTTCGGCCTAACTTAGAACTCAAAAAAACCTCACCTGTAAAGCACAAAAAGTTTAACTTCTAAAGTGCCTCAAAAATCATAGTAAATTTTTAACGAAAAAAGTTTAACAATTATATAAAGAATAAATTCTCCGTTATGCGTTTCAAAGTAAACACAGTCGTCCACTTGGTCGACAAATTCCTCAGTCCCGCAAATCCCGCAGGATCCCGCTCCATTTATGTGCGGGATTAATCCCGCAAAAATGCTGCGTGATCCCGGTACCCGGTATTGCATTCCCTAGTAGGTATCATTCCAAAGAACGTATTAGTCGAGGGGCATATTTTACGGCGAAACCTGTAATGGGAAAAACCGTTGTCATTTTCCACGTAATTGAAATTCAAGCACCCACGACAATAAACTTAATAACGGACTGAAATCGCCAAAAGACGTAGGAATTTTTTTCAATTTACGTAAGGATTAAAGCGACTCTTTGGAGAGAGTTTGTTTCCCAATACATATCACCTGAGCGATCCATGTGGACGTAAAAGTAAGGAGGAAATGTATACTGTATTTGTGCATTGTATTGTAAGAGTTATTTTTGCCATCAGATTGTATTAAGTTAAAGAGCGTGTGGTATAGGTGATAAGAGAAATTATTTGTGGGAAAAATTGAACTAGGACGGTCCATTAACCTGCGAAGAGACGATTTTGACGCTTTGTAACTGAAAAAATAGTACTTTAAGCAGCGCCATGTGGTAATTTAGAAATTATTGAATAACGGGAAAGTTGTTATCAATAATTAAAAAGTACAAATGTAAGTGACGATGAACTACCACTAATTTAAAGTGCGGGGGTAATAATACCGTTAATTAAATCGTATGGGAGGGCCGTACATCGCAAATACAAAAATTATACTAAGTGCATCAATAGCTAAGGACTGAATTTCACCATAAATCAGAAAATTCCATTTACTAATGGTTGTCCAAAGAAGCAGCGTTCTGTTTCTTTACTGATGCGCATTGTTTCTTTTGATTACTATTCGTTTTAAGTGCTCGCGTTTGCTTATAAGAGTGCTTCGTTTTCCGAGATATGGGGTGTTAACATTTTTCTTCTTTTTCGTATGGGACGCCGCTTTTATGCAAAATGATTAACATAATGTTCCTAATTGCATGTCAACAAATGCGCAATAACTACATACCTCTTAAGAGAAATAAGTGTCCGCCTTTATGGATTTCAATAAGGGAAAAATCGCATGCTACGCCACTGGAATTATTTTAGCGGGAAATGTACTAGCGCTCGCGGGTGGGTGTACATGCTTTGCATTCCTCCAACGAGAATAGGAAGGTGGGGAAGTTTTGGCTGAGACAGCAAAACGTGGATAGTTTTTGGTAGCATGTGTTTGATTCGCAACTATAGGTAAATGTATCCGTTATTTTTTCCTTTGGAGTTATTGAATTGCTTGCTTGTCGATTTATTAGGGTGTTTGCTTTTATAAATTTGAATTTGTTAGACCTTATGAAACATTGCGCAAGATTCATAAAATAATTTCACACTTTTACGGGTAGGTAGTTTTGTTATAGATAGATATAGAGATTTTGATATAAATAGGCACATACGTAAATTTCTCTCATTTACGTACAACTTTAAAGCGAATGTCGATTTATCTACGTTTTAAAAATACGAATAGGCGATACGTGTCCGAAATATCTGGTTTACCAAATACTTAAACCTACTGAACCAAGTTGTTTGGCCCACATACCCTACCAACTTTCAGCTCCATCCCAACAAAGGCCGGAAAAAAACTACTCGTCAATGCAAATTACGTTGCAACCGTTTTGATGAATTTCCATTTAGTTTAGCTGACATTAGCACTTTCATTAGCTAATGTTGGCATATTTTCATTACAGGGTGGAATTTTCCATAGCTGTAGGTGGCTTTCATTTGAGTTTAGTACAGAGTGTTTAGATAATTTGTGTACACAGTGAAATGATTCTAAGATCTCTCAAGCCGGCACCGAAGATATTGACTTACCCTATACTTACCGTTGGAAACTCTGGGAAAAAACTATGAGCGGGCCCATCTCCATTTCAAGCTGAAGCTATGGACGTTTCGCGGCACTTTTGAATTTGGATAGCAATCTTGCCGATATGGATGGCACAAATGAACTCCTACGTTGTGTAGTCGGTTCTTGTACGTGTTGGGACGTGAGACCGGAAGGGAATTAAATAAAAGACAGAATTTTTGTGCGTAAGAAATGACAAAAACAAATAAATATATTACGCACACAAGGATAAATCACGCAAACCTTCTACGGGACAAAACCCGGCATCGCCCACACATGTACATGAAATAAATCACCTACAACAACAAAATGCAAGATAAAATATACATAAATAAAAACATCTCAAATTGTATGATAAAAATCAGGTAATCGAATCAATTTCAATTAAACAAATTCGCAAAAACAAGACATCATAAATGCAGTGGAAGACATGATAAATCAATTCAGTACAAAAACACATCAAAATACATATGCGATCAATTGAGATAAAATAACTCGTAAAATGATAAATTGCACGTACATAAGAAAGATCAAAATGGCTCTACTTCAGCCTCAGTTAACATCATTAATTTAACGCGAAAAGTACATGGAGAATGCCAATAGCAGGTATTAATGTGAAAGTCGAGCACTCAAGACATATTTTAAATAGAGCAAATGTTAATTCGAGGAGCCCAACTCATATTGAGAGACACAGAAATGCAGCCTGCATGTGACGAGCAGATAACAGATACAGCGAACGGTTGAACTGTATTAGGTACGTACTCCACGGCGAAAATTATCTGTCAATCTACATAAACATTCTAATTCTAGTAGTCGCTTACGTCACATCTCCTCTTCCCGGGTTTCCCTTTTCATCACAATCACAAGTTTAGTCTTTGTGGTGCTTTGATAGCGCGTCTAGAGGAAATTGTTGATGTAGGGTTATCCGAAGAAGAAAGTGGTCTCAACATAGTTTTATTTCGACGATATAATCCTTCCTTTGTAGCTACGGTATAGGATCTCGGAGCTACGTTCTCTACAATTGTTCCCTCTTCTTGCCTATCAGGGATGAATACTGAGGAACCAATCTCAAGAGGGACTTCTTCTTTCGATCGATGACGTTGGTCGAAGTATTCTGCCTGTTCACTACGATAGCACTTGTCCCACTCACGAAATTGTTTATGGTTCACGTTTTTTGGAATAAGTTCTTTGGTCAGGAGAGGAATCCGAGTGCGCAACTTCCTTCCCATCAGGAGTTCTGCTGGGCTGTATCCAGAAAGCCCGGGAGTGGCCCTATATTCTAGCAAGGCGAGAGTGGGATCCTTATTCTTGCAAAGAATCTTCTTGAGAGTTTGGACTGATCGCTCCGCTTCTCCATTCGACTGATGATATAAGGGGCTGCTCGTCACAATCTTGAAATCATAATTTTTTGCAAATGTTTTCCATTCTTCGCTTGTAAATTGCGATCCAGAGTCGGAGACTACGACTTCTGGAATCCCAAAGCGGGCAAAACAACTCTTCATTTTTTTTATTAGTTCTGTCACAGACATTGATAATATCCAAATACCTCGAATAGTAGTCCACCACAGCCAGATAAGTACATTTTTGGAATTCGAAATAATCTACAGCTATTTTTTGCCATGGGTACAAAGGAGTAGGGGAAGGGATCATCTTCTCGGTATATTGGCGTCTATGCTTGGCGCAAATGTTACAATTTTCTACCACATTACTTAATTCTTCAGTGATACCTGGCCAAAAAACAGATTGTTTAGCCCTCAGGAGTGTACGGTTTATCCCGAAATGACCGTCATGCAGTTTTTCCTTTATTTCTTCACGTAGCTCTGCTGGTATAATCATTCTTTCATTGTAGCAGACTAGACCATCAATAATTGTGATACCATTACGGAATGCGAACCATCGCTTCATCAACTCCTGTACATTCTTTTTGTGATCTGGCCAACCGTTCTCAACATACTCGACTAACAGTTGACATTCACGATTCTGACTTTGGGCGTTTTTAATTTCCTCGAGTCTGGATGGAGTTGTTGGGAATCCCGAAGAAACCACCTTGATATGAGCTTCGACTTTTGCAGTGAAATCATCCTCCGAATCAGGAAGAGGTGCTCGGCTCAAAGTATCTGCTGTAAACATTTCTTTTCCTGGAATGTGCTCAATGGTGTAATCGAATTTCATTAGCCTCATTTTAAATCGTTGAATTCGTATAGGTATGCTATCCAGGTCTTTACTGCCTAATAATGGAACAAGGGGTTTATGGTCGGTTAGAATTGTGAACTTCTTCCCCATTAGAAATTTACAGAATTTTTCCGCTGCCCAAGCGATTGCAAGAGCTTCTTTTTCTATTTGGGCATACCTTTTTTCGGCCGATTGAAGTGATCTAGATGCGCACATTACAATTCGCAGTTTATCATGTTCATTCTGTAGTAAAATTGCGCCCAGTCCGTAAGCTGATGCATCAGCCATAACAGTTGCTTTTGCTGTTACATCATACCGTGTCAAACAAATTGATTTCTTAACTAATTCAATTATTTCTGAAAGAATTTTCTGATGATCTTGGGTCCAACAAAACTTTCTATTTTTCTTTCACGAAAAGCCTCCGTTTTCCCTGCAAGGTTTGGAACGAACTTGTTGAGTTGATTTAGCATGCCATTCAGACGACGAATTCCTGATATGTCTTTTGGAGTAGGTAAATCCTCTAAGGCTCGCACACGATCAGGATCAACCCTTATTCCGTGAGAATCAATTATATTACCCAGAAATTTCACTGATGTTTGTGAAAAAGAGCATTTTTCTTTGTTTAAAACTACATTAGCATCTTTCAGTCTATTCAAAACTTGAGTTAATCGATAATCATGTTCTTCTGGCGTCTTCCCATGAATAAGTAGGTCATCCATATGACATAAGACTCCCTCTAGTCCCTCCAATAGTTTAGATATTTGAGCAGAAAAAAATTCTGGGGCTGATGTGATTCCAAAAGGTAGACGTTTAAAGAAAAATCTTCCAAATGGTGTAATAAATGTTGTTAATTTAGCAGTATCAGGTGACATTTTTATCTGTCAAAACCCAGATTGCGCATCCAATTTTGAAAATATTCTAGAGCTTCCAATCTGGCCCAAGGTTTCTTCAACATCTGGTAATATGATTTTTGGGCGTTTCACATTCTTATTCAAATCTGTATAGTCTACACATAGTCGTAAACTATCGTTTTGCTTAATGACTGGGACAATAGGTGCACACCAATCAGTAGGCTCTTCGATTTTTTCTATTACTCCCATCTTTAACATTCTTTGCAACTCTGCTGCTACTTTAGGACGGAGAGGAATTGAAATATTACGAGGGGCCCTAACTGAATATGGTTTAGCATCATCAATTAGTTCAATTTTGTATTCTCCTGGAATGTTACCTAATCCCATAAAAAGCTGGGGATACTCTTGTACAACTTTATCTAAGGCGATTGATTGAACATTGCCTGATTCATACGATTTTCGAACTGTGATTAGGTTAAGAGATTTTATGGCTGTAATTCCGAGCAAAGGTTCACTTAAACCAGGAATTACATATATTTTTTCTTTCACTTTCTGACCATTAAATTCTAAATCTGCCGTAAACATGTCATCCACCACCATGATATTTTGGTCGGCATTTTTTAGAGTTTTGTCTGACTTGAAAAGATTTGGAATTTGCTTTAGAATATTAGATGGTATGGCTGTAACTTCTGCCCTAGAGTCAAGTTTAGCTTTAACCTTTTGATTATTAATAAAAATGTCAACGTACCAAGCATTGGAAACTCCACCAATGGTATTCAACGCTCCAAGGTACGTTGCGTCATCCTCTTGCTCGCTGACTGAAATTTGCGAGGATTCGCGCAATTCCCCAATTTTCTTTGTGAATTTACCCACAATGGTATTTGATTTGCACATTTTTTTAAAATGGCCAACTTTTCCACACTTACAGGTATAGTCCTTAGCTGGACAAGAATTTCGTGGGTGTCTAGGACCCCCACAATTCCAGCACCCACCTTCCATAATATCAGTTGTGGACTCCTTTAGTGGAAATTTGCTAGACGAACTGGAATGGATACGATCAACTTCTGATGAAGGTTTTGATTGAATCTCCTCCAGTTCATAAGTTTGTTTTTTTATGGATTCTCTCTGTTTTGCCTTTTGTATAGCTTTCTCCAAAGTTAGGTCAGCATCCTCTTGTAGTTGTGAGGATAAAGTCTTATCTAAAATACCGACAACTATACGGTCACGAACAAGTTCATCTCTAAGATCCCGGAAAGCACAACGTTCGGCCATCAAGCTGATATCAGTGAGAAACTGTTCAAAGATCTCCCCTTTTTTCTGGTTTCGAGAATTAAATTTAGCACGCTCATAAAGTATATTCCGCTTCCCTATAAAAGCTTCGTCAAATGCGGCCTTTACAGTTTTATAGGAGTTAAGTTTTTCTTCAGGAAGTTGGGAGCGAGTCAATATATCTTCAGCATTCTCCCCCATACAATAAATTAAAGAAGTCACTTGTTTTTCTTCTGGTTCCTGATCAAGCCCCGACGCCATCCGGTATCTTTCGAATCTTTTAAACCATTTTTCCCATTTTTCTGGGCACTGGAAGTCAAATTGAGCCGGTGGTTGAAACGTGATGTGTCGACGGCCGACCGATGAATTATCTTGCAATTCACCAAATGATTCATCAATATTCTTCTTATTTTTCTTACGACTCATGCTGCCACCATGTAGAATAATGAACGTAGATATTAAATAAAAGCGTATTAAGAGTTAAATATGTAATGTGTGAAATACATACGTTAATCAAAATTATCTGTCAATCTACATAAACATTCTAATTCTAGTAGTCGCTTACGTCACAGTTATTGGTTTCGGTAGTTTAAGTAGGTATTGTTATCAATGTTACTGTATATATTTTTTTATTTTTGATTTATTTTAACTCTATTGTACTTTTGCAGGTTGAAAAATGTTGTTTTTGCTCTGAAATTGGAAATTTTATGTTTTTCTGTTGAGCAAACAAGAGATTATTATTATTATGGTAAAAAAAGCAGTTTGTAATGCTTAACGAGAAGTTTATTTTGCGTAATAAAAGTCAAGGTGTTGCCCGTTTGAACAACTTCATGACTTCTGTTTAAGAAATAAAAGTTTACTCATTATACCTAACCATAAATCGCAGCTATACAAGCGATCTTTTTCATATAATATTGCGAAGTATTATAATGAGTTACCTGGTTCGTTTAAAACCTTAGCCTCTAATCATTTTAAGCTACATATACGCCATTTCTTAATTAGCAGACAGTAATTTATCATTTTGGGATGAAGTGGTAGAACAGTCGCCTAGTTTTGGCAAGACTGAACTTCGTCCCTTTGGACACTCCTTTTCTTCTTTTTTTTAAATTGTTTTCTTGTTTTGTTATTATATTATTGAGGAGGAAGTATGTCCAATAAATGGCTTATTATATTATTATTATTATTATAATTTATAAATTGTTAATGTGTGTTATATTTGTTTCGATGGTGTACAAAAGTGGTAAAATTTCCTGAAGCTCTAAGTGCTAAGTGCGTTGGAATATCGCACGGCCATTTTTACGACCAGATGAAAGGATTATTGTTTGACAAACTGCAATTTTAGGACTTCCTTTGTTTATTTTAGTCGACCACCTGCGTGTGGGGTTAATGTAACGGACTTGTGCCGCCCTCGATTTCAGGTATTTCATGTTTTTTTTTTTATTATTAATTGATTTCATTGGAATTTACGGAACTTGGTTGCGACTACTGAGTCTCTTAAATTATTAAGTCATTATTAGGATTTTTTTTGGAAATGTACGAGGAGAGATCTTAAAAATTCTGTTTTTTAAATTTATTTCAATGAGTCAGGAGGAGATAAAATGCCCCGAAGGAGATAAAATGCCCCGATGTTGTCGTACGGGTTAAAAACTATTGTAATATGAAATTGTAAAATGAAAAACTGTAAAAAAAGTGAAAGCCGAAATAGCTCATTTTCCTTAACATTTATTCGAGCTACACACAAATTGACAAAGCTGGAAATAAGAGAGGCCCTCAGGGCCTGTTTACGACTACCGCGCAGCGCGAGCGATCGTTAGACAATTAATTAAAGAAATTTTAATTACTTACAGTTTTCAATAATCCAGTATCTATTTGTTAACTAAAATTTGTCGGTGAACAAAAAACTGCCATTTTCAAAAACTTCACATCGCTCTTTACACTTAATCCTGATAACAAATACTTAATTTTTTTAATTTGGTGATTAAATTTGGGGCTTCTCGGGTGGTAGACCGAAAAATCTTAGTTTAGCGAATATTTGGAGAACTTAGGTCACACTATGCAATGAACGGCTTGATTGTCACACACACGCACACACCCTCACACCCTAACTATTAGTTTTCCGGATGCGGATAAAGGGCTTAAAACTTCTCACGAACTCGATTAGATCATTTGATGACGTCGTACATGAAACCAACTAACTTTCTTCAATAAACAAATGTCATTATTAAAAGTACAGGGTTTAAAACGTCCACTAATACTGTCGGACCATCACCCAAAAATCACCTCGTTTTTGTTATTTTCTAATTTAAGAAAGCAGCCAATCAAAGCAAATCTTGATTAAGGCCAGCACACGTGCAGTTTTCTTATCTGCAATAACACGTGCTTATCTTGAAACTAATTGGCATTATCGAAATTTACACGTTTGATTTATTTAACCTGAGACGGTCATTCATAAATGGAGCGTTGTATCAGGGTCAACAGTGTAACTCCAACTTAATTAAATGCTAACAAAAAAATACAAATTGCCGAACTTTGTTTTTTACGGTACATCCGTAATAAATAAAATATCAAAATTGTGACCTTCGACAAACTAGACCGACTCCAATTGTCAATAGAGTATACAACTTTACAAGCCACTGTTAAAATCATCGCCATGTAAAAATCAAAGTTTAACAGCCGCTTGTGTAAATACGGCCAATCGGTACGCGTTCGTCGCAATCTGATTACGGAAAATTGATCACAGTTGGGAATTCAACGGTAATGCCATTAGCGGATACTTTTGCGATACTATTGAATTCCAAATGTCGCGTGTTTTATAAATTAAGTGCGCCCCACAAAGGATTCGGCTCAATTCAATTGGAAAACCGGCAACCCGAAACATATAGACTGTAACGGCTCACATTATCTACGTATGCATTACATGGATTAATGGCGCACTTACGATATGAGCTATATTTTAATGGTGCAATAAAGGTGGATCGTAAACTTATAATGGCGCGTGTTACGTTCAATGCAATGGCCGGCTTATGGCGGTCGTCAACTTTTAGGAATCGCCCTTAATATAATTAACAAACGTCGAATGTCATAGCCAAATAAACATTATTTTCGATTGAAACAGAAGTTCGCTACTGTGACGCATCAGTTAAGTAAACTGGCCTGATGTAGTCAAAATAACTGAACTTAAAAGATACTGTTGCGTGTACAAATGATTGAGGTACTTTTTATGGACTGTATGAATGTAATTGCTTGCTATGCTTTTTGTATAAGTGGGATGTTGAAAGAATATCGACACCTTTTATTAACATGTTTTTTGCTTAAAAATACGAATAAAGTAAATTGATTTACTTGTTGTTTCGCAGTATGTTCAGTAAACAAACGAATGCGGTAATCAATGGTGGCTGGTGTTGGTTGTTTTTTTTTGTGGAAGCGATAACGAAGATTGCAGTTTAATTTAACGACAAAGGAGATGATACAGCTTTTGATCCTATCGGCAAAAGTTTTCACAGCGTTGTACAGTACAGTACATGAGTTCGACGAAAATGTCATGCTGCTTTTTAACAGACACGCTCATTATTAATTGTGGTAAGACGACATCTTCGATTGTTGTTCGACGAATGCGCATATTCAAGCTTAATTCCAATTTATGCGGTTCGTGCGCCGCACTGAACAAGTAGGAATATATACAGAGACAGGCGAAAGAGTTATATACAGGATAATTTCTTTGTTTCTAAATTCGCATACGTATGCGCCTCTTTTTGAGAACGTGTAAGGTGGAAAACACCTCCCACTCTTCGTGGTATTCTAATGAAAGTTCTCATCGAAGGAAATTGGTTTTCATCAACTATAATTTTCCTCCGAGAGGATGGTTGGAGAGGGGTCATGGTATACTAATTAAAGATCTACCATATACCAACCACAGCTTCCTCTTCGACTCATGGTCATTTCTTGTGTCGGAAAAGAGTGTTCGCATGGCAAAATGAATCGGAACGAGACTCTTGGAAAGGTTAATAGTGTAGCAGGGGCGAATCTGCACCAGATCAAGGTGGCTCTTCACTTTGCGGTGACCTTGGAAAGTAGGTCAAGGTGAGACTCAAGTGATTCATTCAACGACTTCATCTTTGTGTTGTCATATTTCACTTTCAAGGTTACCAAAGGTCAATAACCTCATTTTTTGTGATGCGACAATTTACTCCCATGGTCATTAAAAGTGAATGAGTCCATTTTTATAATGTCATATTTTATTGTCAAGATCATCAAAGTTCAATTACGTTATTTTTGTCATATATTATTTTATTTTCAAGGTCAATGGTCACATGTTTTGTGGCGACATATTTCATTTTTAAGGTATCCACGTTCAATGACCTCTTTGACGTATTGTATTCTATTTACAAGGTAATCAGAGGTCAATGACCCCATTTATGTTGTTGTCCTAATTCATTTACAAAGTCAACGGAGGTCTCTTTTTTGTGGTATCATATTTCACTTTTAAAAGCGATCCCTGTTCAATGACCCCATATTTGTGTTGTCGTGGTTCATTTTCAAGGTCAACAAGCTCTTTTTTGTGGTGTCAAATTTCAATTTCAAAGTTATCAAAGTTCAGTTGCCTCCATTTTTGCTGATATTCCCCTGTGACGTTGGTCATTAGTCTTCTTCGATTCGACTATGGACCTTTCGTTTCACATTTACTCGAAATGTCACATTTTTTAACGCTTTTTTTAATTTAAAAGAATGTCCAGCCCTCCGTCCGTCTCTGCCCACTTTTGCTGGTTTGTTCTACTTTTAGGGGATCTTGGCATTTCTTGAAACTTGAAGTTGTGCCAGACGGTCCATGAATTATTTATCGAGCAATTTGTCTCAAATTTTGCATAGCAGCTCCTAGTGGTACCAAGTAAAGCTTTTGAAAACGGGTAGGGGGAAAGCACCTCTCGATGGTATTCTAATGAAAGGTATCGTAGAAGGAAATTGCATAAGCATCTTTTTTCGTGTGGACACTTATCTTCTAAATGACCCTCCCTCACGCAATTGAAGCATTTGTTTCTTGTGTTTCTCTCTACACACATCTTCGTTTTTTTTAGTTTAGCAGGGACGAACTTGGACCATTTCAAAGTCGCGCGCCACCTTGCGGTGACCTTGGACAGTAAAGTGAAGAGTACCACGTGACTGTAACATTGGAAAGTAACTGAGGTGAAACTCAAGTGCATTGATTTCCAAAGTCACCAGAGGTCATTTTGCCGAAGTACCCTTATTTTTTACTGCCAAGGTCAAGGTCATTTTTGTAATATCATTTTATTTTGAAGGTCATCAAAATTCAATGACCTCATCTTTGTCATACCTTATTTCATTTTCAAGGACGATGAACCGATTTTTTTGTGGCGTCATATTTAATTTTTAAGGTTGTCCATTTCTTTGCGTTGTCATATTCTATTTTCAAGGTCATCAGAGGTCAATGACTCCTATTTTGTGGCGTTATTTTCA